GTAACTGGGGACGTTTATTAGCGAATCTTTTACTGCACTACACTGATGTACAAAGCTCGCTCCGCAAATTAGCAAACTTGATGAGTCGCCTTTTGTTTCCGGAGATAATGCCAGCTTTTAATACAGACAAAAGCTACAGAAAAGGAAATGTGATTAGCTTTTTTTAGCTGAATTGTTGACAAGCAGGTAAGTAATTGCACTCCACTGGCCATGGAACCCGTCAAGAAAAGTTGAGTTTGTCATGCACGTTCATATTCTTCAATGCGATTCAGAAAAATTGGTTAGAGTATATCATCTAGTTGAGACTTGCTTTTAAACTTCCCGAAGAAAAAAATTTGAAAAGCAATAATTCCGTTTTTAAATTGTTTCGTGAAGATTTTTGTTTGTCTTTGCGTTTTCGAATCAGAAATGTTGTTAGTTTCATGGTTATTGTCTTTTTAGGCGATGAGGTCGACTCTCTGCGTTAGGATTATGCTCTACTGTAATTGGTCGATTTCAACAGCTTTCATCGGCGCGTTTCGATGCTCTGGTCCCTCAGCGGTCTGCATGTATTTTTTTTAGATCGTGATCATCCATCCCTCTGCGGGGATGCTCAAGTTCGACAGAAATCTTATTTTTAATCTTCTGCATTTACAGAAGACAAGCAGTAAATACAATCGAAACTTGAACTGATTACACCACAAGACAAATGGTAAACACTTTTGTTATTGAAATCACCAAAATTGAAAACCCCAACCTGTGTTTAGCTGTGAGATAGGACTACGAAAATATATCCTTTCATTGAGTTTTTTCAGGAAGTTAGCCAAGAAGTCTCGATCCCCTGATTTATTAGACCCAGGTAATCCATGGGTGAGAAAAAATGCTTCTGAGCTACTTGACAGGGTTTGTCTGCCAAAAATAGTCTGACCTCCTGAGCCCGAGTGTTTGGAAAACGCACGTAGTAAGCATGCGCACCTATTGAGTTACAAAATCGTGCAGGGATCTAAACACTAATCGAAACAATTTGAGTTACATAACTTTTAAAAAAAAGCTTTCTTGTACTCATTTAAAAGAGTGTTGTATATTCATGGACCCCCAATACGCTACACTCTTTTGGAAACAGTTTACGTTTGTTGACATCTAGAAAGCTCTAAAAATGCATACTTTTTCAAGGAAAGAGCCCCAGTTTTGCCTTCTCATACTCAAGATGAGCAGAGCCAAGAAGCTATCATAGAAGCATGTGGCAATAACAGTTTCAAAATTGCAAACACGGTGGTCTCCTCTCTTTTGAAAACATGATGTGCGCGTTTCATTATCTTTCACTAATGACTTTCAGGCAAGTCGCAAGACTTTGATTCAGGGGCGGGTTATATCGCAAGGGTATCACTAAAGGGTTCATTGTACTCAATTGGATCATATCTCAGTAAGTTAAACTTTACTGTGACGATTAGAATTTAGAGTGATTTTCAGTACCCATCAAAACTACCATGACAACTTGCAACTTGCAAAACACAATGAACGGGCTTTTCAACAGTCCAGGTTTTAAAAATTTTGCGTGGGTTTTCAAATGTTTTAAAACGGAAACGAGATTGCTTTTATTTAGGAGTAAAGTAAATATATTCGGACGTACCAGGCACTAAAGTTAAAATCGTGATGAATTTGGAAATTGTAAAAAAGTTCTTCTTTTTCCAGCTACATGTATGACGTGCCCTTGTTGGCAAAACAATGACTGCACCGAATTAATGTGACTAAATGAAGATAATTTATAGCATATCACTGCACTTTTCACCGGTGTTTACAAGTGATTACGTGCTCCTATAATTTATATGAAGTTTTATGGTTGCGCTGAACAAAAAAAAAAAACTGGTGGAGAAAATTTAGAAGTGTGTTACAAAGTTTAACGTAGAGTTTTATATTTGATGAAGTGAAATTCCTTTAGCACTGCTTTTTTTCCAAAGGCGTTTTATGCGAAATCATCGTATCTATTGTATTCAGTCATGCAGTTTTATAGTTTCTCTAAATGAAAAAAAATTGGAGAAAATTGAGCGGTGCCTAGTCAGAAACCGCGTAAAAATAGATTGTACAATGTGTTTGCAATTATGGTTATTTTATGTACTTATTAAAAACATTGTTATTCACTGCATTAGTATTCAATTAAGATCAGCGCGCAAACCCAAATGATTAAAAAGTCATTTTCCGACAACACATTTCTTGTTATTGCTTCAGTTGAATTTCCGACTTCAGTTCAAAAAGACGTCTACCCGCGTTGAAACCTGGGGAAAAGTGATTTATTCATTAATGGTTGAGTTTTAGGAAATCTCGCGTAAAGTATTTGTCGAAAATTTCTTCACGAACCTCCACTGCACTCCAGAACAGACACGCTTACCTTTTCGCCATAGTCTAAGTCTTTGATTTCATTTGATGCAAACCCGTCATATTAGGACGGTTCGACCGTAAATCTTGCTTTGACTCGTCTCGGGAAGTTTCGTTCGTCATGTGGAAATGCGAAAAACGTAAGATGGGTTAGTTCTTCTGTAAGAACCATGAACGTAGCTTGTCAGAATAATATTTTGTTTTCCCCTGACTCAGTCATTATCGAAAATGTCACGGAAAGTATGTAAGCAAATTGTTTCATCATGGGTGGCGACGACCTCAATTTGACATCAGCCTAGTTAGAGATAGAGTCCCCTGTTACGTTCTGTTTTAGCGGGTTTCTTCAATATTCTGAAGCGGAAACCGCAAATATTCTTTCAGTTGCTAAGGTATGCGAGTTCACACAGTTAATATCAATAGTTTTGTGTGCTTCTGCCGCACCTTGTCTCTGGCGGCGAGTTTTATCCCATGAATTCGGGAATTTGGCTAATTTGAAAAAGCTGCTTTCAGCCTGAAGGTGTGGAGGGGAACAGAAACGGTCTTGGAAAATGGATGAATGTTCTGCTTTCCGACAATTTGGAAAAAAAGCTGTATCCGGTCTCCCTCTGTGTAGTTATTTTCACTCATTTTTTATGTCGTTATAAGAAATATGGTGCTTAAAAATACTTTAAAACCTCAATAAACGTCTTTAAACGTCAATTTATTAAGGTGAATTTATAGGTGAATTTGAAAAAATCACATTCTTTTCAAAAGCAAGAAAAAAAAAATCGCAAGGTATTTTTCAGCGAATTAGATCCAAATGTTGCCGTTGTCCATTTCTTTGGGTTTGTCTCTATATTGGGGGATTTTATTGCTCGCCCTGCTGTACAAAACAAAAATTATTATTATTATTTTTTTTTTTTGCTCGGTAGTGGAATAAAAAGATTTTTGGTTATGTTAAGGCCGAGACAAAGAAACAATTTGGGCTACAAAAAACACGGTGATAAGTTGACACATTTCCTGCAAGCTGCGTCGATAGGATGTATTGAAAAGGTCAACTTTGGTACACTTCTTCCAAGGCCCTGGTAATAATTGCTTCATGCTCAGACCTTATAATTTGAATAAAACTCTATTCTCAGGTCTTTCTCGGTATCTCTCAACTGCGAGTTACAATTGAACGATCTACGAACTCAACAATAGGTAACTTGATTTCGAGATACCGTTTTGATTCGACTTACAGAACAGATCGCTGAAACTGGAGCTCACAAGTTTAACACACAAGTGTCTCATCCCAACAAAAATTTTTTTTTTTCTTGAGTCAGGTTTTTAATTCCCACGCAAAGGAAAACAGCCCTTAAAACAGAGACCCCTTATAAAAGTGCTGATGCATTTTCCTACAGTAATTCTGGCGAAAAAAATCAAACTTCATTTGTAACAATTTTGATTCATTTAGCTTTTCCTTCGAGTTTTGGAGGTCGTTTAACAAAGTAATCTGCTCTGGAGATTTGAACTTGGTCAATTCGATCTGAATTAATCAACATTGTACACTGAATTGATTATCACGTTTTTGGCTCTAAACGGCCGACCATTTAACTTTTGAGGGGGGGTGGGTGATTTTGAAAAAAATATCCTGCAAGCGCTTGTTGGAAGAAAAAAATTGCATGCAGCCCAAATGTAACAGAAAAAATGTACCAAAAAATTGGAAAAAAATATCCTCCACAGCAGATTACTAGAAAAAAATTCCTTGCTGACCAGAAATCACCCACCCCCCTCCCCTCAAAAGTTAAATGTTCGACCCCTAAAGTTTCGTCCGTGTCTGCCATAATTGGTGTTGAAAAGTCTATCCAATTTTGTCGTGGAAAAGGTGTTACTTGCGAACCTTTGACTCTTACAACGACCTCGTTTTGCAATTTATCTTTATGTTTGCACGCATTTAATAAAACTTCCCAAAGGTCACTACGTACAATTTCATGTTTGAACTAAGGAGGAAACTATATAAAAAACAGCTTTTAACAAACCTTAACTCAATTATTTTTTGGACTCGTCTATAAATAGTTCCTAAAGGGTTTCTTGTTTCGGTTATAGGTATATAAAATTATAACAAAACATTGCGAGTACCATTTGAAAAAGAGTAATTTCAAAGGGGCCGTAGTTAAATCATTTGCTTTACCTAAATAGAGTTTTGCTTCAATGACCTTAAACGTTACATAACATAACTTTCAGCGAAAATAGAACATTTAATTTCCTACGTAGTCGAATTCTGAACACTGCAGAAAGTCGGAAGTAATGGAATTTTTGAAATGTTTCAGCGCCAGCGCTGGCCTCGATTAGTAAAGTTACGAGAATTTTGGATATTGAGTTAGTTAAAGCGTTTTTTTGGAGTTAACGGACGTAATCTTTGTTTTTTTCTCTGGAATTTCGGATTAAGATTTCTTACGAGGAAGAAAATGGCCATTGCGTTAAGGAATTTCAGGAAATGCGTTAATTCTGCCTCTCCTGTTCTTTCGTATTACGTCGTAAGTTTGTTTCCTTTACCAAGCCGGCGTGTTTTCAAACAACTGACATAAAAATTTTTCCTGAACGGATTATGACCAAATTGGCAACGACTTGAATATCTACTCCTAATTCCTCGCATTTTAGCGGCTATTCGCCGTGGTGTTTTTTTATCCAGGGGGTTATTATAATCAATTAATCCTGCTCTCATCAGAAAGAGAGGCACAAGAAGACAGGATTACTGAGGCCCGCAGCGAAAATCTCTTCAAAAATTCCAATCGAAGTGAATTCCAGAAAAACTACTGTAGAGGGAGGCTATTCATTTCGTACGTAAGCTCGCCGTAAAGCGATGAATTTTCATCTCAAACGGTGAATAGCAGAAAGATAAGTAGAATTTATGTGGCAATTGGAAATAAACTGATGTAGGTGATGACGGATAACACACCACCAGTTGTTATGTTATGATTTTATTGGTCAAAGTTGACTCCAAGGGTAACATAAAATCGATCCGGGTAAAGTAAGTTTTAGTTCGTTTCTGTGAGTCACGAGAAGGGGAAGAAGTGTAAAGCTAATTTTCAGCGAGTGTTGCTTGTTCGTAAATGAGAACTTCATTTAGAATGGGGGATAGTATAAGTAAAGGTGGCTCGTGGAGGTTACACTGGTTTTTCTCGATTACCTTAATTGCCTTTGTGATTGCTGTGGCATGTTTTGTGGAGGAGGCGGAATCAGCCCGCGAGTCGAAATCTGTGAAAAGCTCGAAATCCAACAAGGAAAAGGTAAAACTATCTGGTTATGCGATTATGAAAGGAACTATTTTCTGGAAATCAAATGCAGGGCACCCAGGACTATGTCTTGAAGGTGTTAGGTCGAATGGGTACGGAAGAGGTTTGTCATTATATAGCACGCGCTTTACTCAAGACAAAAACCAAGGATTATTTACTTAATAAAGAGGAATATATTTGTTCTTGGAGATAGGCTGGGAAGTTAGCGTTATTCGTGTGTAGCGACAGAATACTTTCTTAGTTCAATATCGCACAAATAAGTTGTTGTTCAGAGTTGTCATTGAGCCGGACTCAATGAAATCGGTTCTCCAGTCTCGTCAGATATTGGTTACCGATAGCCACCCAGAATCAACGCAAGGTTTATCAACAATGATATTGCATGGCGAACTAAAAATAACATCATTAGCTGTTAAAAAGTTCTTATATTCATCTCTCAACTCTGTGTATACATACAACGGTGAAAAACATCCTAAACCAGATACACGCAGAGCAAATCAGAGTGTGATGGGCTCTTGCGGATGTGGTAAGAGAAGTACTCAAGAATAATATTTACGATGCAATCCGTTTTATATCTTCATACCGTTGTTATTACATGTTATTTGAAAAAATGTTCAATATTAGACGTAAGATTTCCTTCAAAGAGACGCCGGATATAGGGGATAAAACAGTTTCGTTTTTCAATGCTTTGTAGTCTGTCCGAGAGAAATGTTACATTTGGAAAACATATATTTCGCAAGACAACAGATGTAATTTCTATTTGTTTACCACAAATATTTCGTTTTCCTATCTTAAAAAAAAAAAAATCACAGAGAAAACTCACAGTTTATGGAAAGATAATGAAGAGCAACAAATTTTGAAGGTTACTTCGCAAGCCCGAGAATTTCCTTAGTTATTTTCCCCGCTTTTATTTATTTGTTTATTGTTATTTTTTGTACTAGGGGAAGTGTAGAATCCTTCAAGATAAGGATAAATATTACTATGTGCAATGTGGAGGAGAAGGAAAGAAAAAGAAAGGTCCAGGCTCAGGAAAAGAAAATGAAAAACGCTCAGGTGGTGAGGTAAGTCAGAAAATGGACATTACTGGTCGTTGTTAACTTTTTATTTATATCGCATAGATCACTACTCAATGATGAAGTGGAATCGCCTTAACAACAAATCAAAACGCTGTAGTTTAATAGCTTCTCTCTATTACAAAATAGAGCAATTTTCAGGAATTATACCTTTGCGAAAGACACATTCTCACACAAGCCGGCTTGTAGAAGGCTGACATTATTAGAAGTTTTTTATTTCTACATAAAATCCGATGCTGGTGAAGACATATCACGTTTTTTTTTGATCGAGGTCACGTATAAAACTGTGGGATTTTGAACTTTGTACGTCAGTTAGTGACGCATCAGCTTAGATATCATGAAGCCTGTGGCTTTCTTTCACAACATTGAAATGAGATAACGAAGTTAAAAAAAGTGTTTGAAAGAAGAAGTTTATTCTCTACGTATAACTTTTTCTTCCAATTTTCTTCTTGTGTTTTGGCGTAATCGAAATAACAAGCTTAGTTTCAATGCTGAAACCCGATATTTTTTCTAACTCGATGACAAAGAGTTGAGTAGCTTTTATAAGGCTAATCTTCATCTCGTTTTCTAGTTTCCCCTCGATTTGCCCAAAGCCCTTTTGAGGTGATAAAACTGAGGCCCCATATTATAACACTAAACTTTTAAAACATGTCGTCGTATTTTCGATACTCTTGTTTGAGGACAAACCTTTCAACATGTCTACGGCCAATAAGCTAGAGTAGATACCAAAGAAGGTCATTTTCTCAATATTAAGTCGAGTTGTATTATGCAAAGTAGATGAATAAACTCTTAGTCACACTTCGTGCAAACTGAACTCGTTCAATTTATATTTCGTTTCTAGTATAACCCTTTTTCTGGATTTAATTTTTAAAGTGCCGAGCACAGCGTGAAATATCCGGACAACGCGTTTTAGTAATCAGTAATTAAAACAGATTATAGCTTTACCGCCAAAGAGGTTTCTTCAAGGATCTCTTTCCAAATGCTAACCTCAACCCTTACTGCTTTTTCTCGGAATGGCTATCTGATGAAATTACTCCTGTAAGTAGAAATCAACCATTTTACAGCTGAAGTTTAACGATTGAAACGGAGAACAAGTTAAATACTTTTTGTCGGTATCGAGTTAACACCGCATGAGCCAAATCTATCGCATTAACGGAATGTTCCTGTTTTTTTTTTTTATTTTTTTATTTTTTTATTTTTTTTTATCAATTTACCGGCTAAAAAACTCTCTCATCGGTTATGTGTTCGTGATGTATCTACTGCCGAAGAAATATTTCATTGTCACTCTCCACAGCTTGTGAGCGATTTTAAACTCGTTGCACTTCATCATACTCCGTTCTACGAATTCTTTGCAAATTTTTCACGCCCAGAGGTATGGTCCCCTGTAATGGCTTAGTAACATATGCAGCTTCTAAAATGTCTTGTGTTTTTTATCTTCTCGTACTGTATCCGTCAAAGTCTATCCTATACTCATCGCTCCTTGGATGGGGACACCCTCATGTATTAGTTTCACAATGTGATGCGCTGACTTGCGACATGTGATTTAGTCGGAAATCTTTATTTGAGTAAAGTTGACCGGCCAAACCGATAACCAGTAATGCAGTAATAAAATCACTAATTAGTGATCAAAATCACTAGAGTTTTTGGAACGCCATTAGCTTTATCCGAATTTTTTATCTCTAAGAAGTTGCATCAAGTGTACGTTGCCTTAATTTTATTTTCAGACGTCTTTACTCACTGCTCTCACTCAAGCGGTGCGCGCACTCCGATTACATTGCATTGTGGTAGCGTTATTTTCAATATGGCGGTAAAAGCGGCCGAAATCCGTAAAAAAGTTAGGCCGTTTATTTTTCTTTTCACTATAGGTAAATACAGTTTGATATATTCTAAATGTGTAGAAGTATTTTTCGTACGTATTTGTCGCGTATTATATCGTTCTCCAGGACAAACGCAAGCACTGTATTTTAGCATATAATTTGAGATCGGTCTTCGAGGAGGTCAAATTCGTTGTACGTCGTGGTTTGAAGTCATTCAAAGATTTGTTTGGCCACTTTGATCCTTCTTCAACAGCTCTGACCAAACGCACTCAAACGCACTCCAACGGCACAAATATTTTATGCATTTTAAAGTGATAGAGTTTGAGACCTTTTTATGGAGCGAAAAGGCCCATTGTTGCGCTTAGTGTGTTGCGTTACATAGCGTTACTACTGCAAGGACATTTATTTATGATATGTACTCAATCGTGCACTAAATCTACTTTCCTAAGTAAAGAAAAATTAACAAATCGCGAGTGTTGTCTGGTGAATCTTCTATCCTGATCATCGAATGAAGGACAGTTTAATTAGAGCAATGAAAAGAGTCACTTGATCCATAAAAACTCTACCTTGGGTGAGGCGACACGCGAAGCAAAAGGAAGTCGACCATTGAAAGGTGTTGATAGGCCTGTGCGTCTCCAACCATTCGCTGGCACTTTTAAATCTTCTACCCTCAAAGTTTAGCTCTTATTAGTATAACTCTTGTTGACTTTCCTTTGCGATGTGTTAATAAGGGTTCGGTTTGAGGTATCATTTTCCCTATCTGTGTGTTCTTGAGGTTTGGCAAAGCCGGATGAGATTGTGTTACAAAAGGCAAAATTTTTTTCTGTGCGCGCGCTATTTCCTTTGTTTTAAAGGTATATTTCTTTCCTGCAGAAATAACTCCAGAGATACGTTTCTCAAAACCCTCATCTAGGTTTCCTCTATTCTCGACGGCTACTTTGAAACTCTGTACGATTTTACTAAACGTGGAGCGAGACAAATTCGTTGGTAGGAAGCATGGGGCTTCTCCTTTTGCAAATCCCGTATTTACGCTCGGTGGGAAAAGTTCGTGTATTACAGGGTCTCTGTCTCTTTAATATGCGTTTGTATGTCGAGGGTCAATTCCCTGTTAAATAACTCGCGTCTAGGAATATAATTTCTGACTTTGAAATTATTCATCCCGCCATCGGTTGTGAGTGTAACTGTTGCCATTTGTGTGGAGATTCTTAGTCAGATTGCAGTTTCGAATCTTTCTTAATGATGTCAGTTGCCTCCTAAGAATGAATTCGTTATGGAGGAATGACGGGAGTGGCGCAGGTCCGTCAAACCTTTTTAACTTGCGAAGGAAAGGCAACAGACAGTGAATTCCCGTTACAATCCACGTATATTCACGCCATCTCGCTGCCACCAAAGAAGTTCACTCCAACGTGTCAAGATGCAAATGACTCAATTTTTGTGTTACTACCATGATGCAACGTAATCAGACTGCGCACACCGCCTGGCTCTCACTTAAACAGGACGCGCTTTCTCCGCCCGCGGGAAGATTCAAGACGAGTCGGGTAGAGGTTTGCCGGGGGTCTGGCACTAACATCAGTGTCAATCAACCCCTCATACTTTCCTGCGCGCGAAGTGTTATAATAAAGTTTTCCTCGTACGCTACTTTTACTTCAGAATGCCAAACTACTTGGAGTGACTATTACAAACAATCTTTCTTGGAACTCACATATGAACGAAACTATCAAGAAAGCGTCTAAACGACTTTATTTTCTTAGACAGTTTAAACGTGCTAGGGTCCTTACATCGGACTAAGTCAGATTCTACACATGTTGTATTAGATCCGTCTGTGACTATGCTGTACTGGTTTTTCATTCATCTCTGCCTAGTTACCTAATTAATGACTTAGAACGAGTTAAGAAAAGAGCTCTATCAATTATTTTCCCTCACTTATGTTACAACGAATCGTTAGCATTTTTGGACTTGGATTCACTTTTCGATCATGACAGTTTTTTATGCAATTCACTTTTTAATAAAATCTTACATGACAAAGAGCATAAACTACACCACCTGCTTCCCCCAAGACATTCCCCTAAATACAACTTAAGGCATAGCCGAGTGTTTGATATTAGTTACAAAACCAACCGCACCAAGAACAGTTTTATTAACTTTCACTGTAATTTAATTAACAATAATAAGAATGTATTTTAGGTTGTATTTTTTTTTACGGAACATTTTATCTCCATTATTTTATAGAACATTTTAGCTACACAGTTATTGTCCGCAATTTAGCCAATGGCTACCATGTACATACTAATGAAGTATTTCTCCGAAGTATCTCTCTCTCACACTTAAATCATACCCGTAGATGCCTTATCTTTCCCAAAGCAAATTTTCGAAAAAGAGTGAACTTGCTACCATGGTGGCGAGGGATGCTCGTATTGAAGCCGACCCTGTCGAGTCGGTCATGATCCTTCGAAGGCGCACATTCTAACCCTTATAATTAAAATATGTAGCCATGCCGATCTAGCCATGGGCGAAATTGATCACAAACCTAAGTTTTCTGGTCCGATAAAGCCTTCCTTATGGTGGCGATATCGAGACGATGTATTTGATCTCTGGCAGCAGGGCCTTCCTGCCCTGCATCAATTTACTGATTACTTCAATTCTCTGTATCCTGCTATTAAGTTTGAGCTAGTTTTTTCTGAGCGTGGGCTCCACGTACTTGATCTCACTTTACATCTTATCGATGGATTTATCAGGACACACGTCTATTCCAAACCTACAGATAGCCATTTATATCTTCCGCCTTCCAGCTGCCATCCTAAGCACGTTTTCAAGGCTATTCCTTTTGGAGTAGCCACAAGATTGAAAAGAAATTGCTCTGAAGAAGTATTTTTTGCCGAGAGAACAGCTGAGTACAAAGAGTACCTTGTTAACCAGGGTTACCCTTCTAAATTAGTTTCTAAACAATTCTCCAAAGCCTCCGCCATCCCTAGACATAATTTACTCAGGACTCGTGGAAAAGAAGCGAAGAAACTATTTCCATTTGTTACTACATTTAATCCTAACTTGCCCGACGTAGGCAACATAATCAGAAAGCATTTGTTTATTTTGCAATCTAACCCCAAATTGAAAGAACTTTTTCCTCGAAGTTCTATCATACCATCTTTTCGTCGATCGAAAAATCTCAAAGAATTGTTAGCACCATCTCGTTTTAAAACTGCCAGCGAGAGACAAACCATTCCTCATAACAATGGCTGCTTTAAATGCGATAGGAAAAGATGCGACCTCTGTCAGAATTTCTTTGTTGAATCTAAATCATTTCTCAGCTTTCAGACGGGCAAAAATTACACCATTCACTCTAGACTTTCCTGTGACTCTAAAAATGTGATTTACTTGGCTTCCTGTAAGAAATGTCGCCTGCAATACGTGGGATCTACTAC